TCCCAAATGCAAACCACATGTCCTGTGCATGCATGAGCTGCTTCCCACTGCCCAGAGCTCTGGGTTTGTTCTCAGCTTGCTCTGGAACTTTTAATAATTGTGAAAATAAAGGGAGGGTCTGCTTGCATTGTTTATAGTAGGAAAGAACAGTGCAAGATTTCATCTGCTGCTGTTCAGATCCCTTGCTATTTTTGGTATTTGACCTCTGCAGAGAAGATTGCCAGAACTACAGGTCTTTTTCATTTTTATTACGTGCTTCTACCCTCCTACTCATAAGTTACTCTTACGTTAGTGATTAAGTCTTTGAGAATGTGCCATTTTTCCACATTTTTCCCTGTATTTTTCAAAGGAAAAATTGTATTTCTATATATTTTTGAGCTAACACTCCCTTTTGGAAAGGAGAACTATGCAACTTGGCAGCATCTTCTGTACACCACTCAAAGGAAAAGGGAAATAACTTATGATTTGCTGGTTTATCTTTTGAAAAACGTTCTGGATTGAAGAGTACTGACTGATGAGCCTGTTGGCTTGAGCTGAAGCTGCAACGTTTAGAATGCTGCACAAACAGCACAGCAGCAAGTGCTGGGACAATGTTAAGTTTAGTTTGTGCAGATAGGTGCTTGCTTTTCATTTCTCCACCATTAGAAAGGGCTGCCTTTAGCACAGCTGTTTGCTTCTAGTCTTGCTGTGTAGTTGTTTCCACACTCCACCAGTGAAAAACACATAACAAAGGCATAAAAAAATCCTGTCCTGCCTCTTTGGCATCACTTCTACTTCGTGCCTTCTATTCTAAACATTGAGTTTATTTCTTTTTTAAAGGAGCCTTGTAGGATGCCCTGGAGGTCAAAATATTTTAGGTTATTTCAGAGAATGGTATTTATTCTGACTTCCCAAGATGCGATGAATTTTGAGTGTTCTTCCAGAAGTTTATTGTTTCTGGTAGTTGTGGTATCCAGGAGATGTGCAGGGGTTGCATGTAACTGTGTACTTAATTCATGGAGCAGATCACCTGAGTGTAGTTCCAAGTCTAGATATAATAACATAGAAGTTTCAGGTTTGATTTAGAAAAGGTGGCTTTCCCTGGCTCGGAGGGTGCAGGTGTGGATGCAGCTGAAAGATTCAGCTGTTCCCCTTAAGGAATGGGGATTCCTAAGGATGGGATTACACCTTTTTTTTTCCAAGCACGAGTGACTGGCCAGAGCCAGGCACCTTCAGCCAGGTGCTGGTGTGTCATCCCAGTGGTGGTGGTTTCCTGGCACCCTGACATCCCCTGCATTCTGCCAGTGTTGAGACTGTAGATCCAGACTGTGGTGACTTTGCTGGAGAAAGTGAAAAACCTGATTTTAATGGATTACTTCACATTTGGCAGCATTCTCAGAATTCACATTCTGAGGAGAGGAGGACCTATGGGGAAAGAAGAGCTTTTGGCCAATGCCCTTTGTGACTTCTTCTGAATCTGGAGTAGTCCAAGAGCAAGCTGTTGGTACAACTCTTTGTGTCAGAGAGTTTGTCATACAAACATGAGCAGTTCTCCTCTCTGATCATCACAACTGCCTGTTGTGCTATGTCCAAAACATTTCAAAGACTCTGATTTTGCCAAGGGATTCTTTGGAACACAGATACCTCTGTTGTTGAACTTAAGGAACTAAAAGTGCTTTGGTGCAGAGGACCATGTGCTTTGTAGGTGGCTGCAGTCCAGTGCTTAGTTATCTTCTATTGTGTTTGGAAGACCATTGTTTCCTATTTGTCTCATAAATTTAACACAGATCCTATTCCTGCCATTTAAACTTTCCCATCAAAATACAACAGTGGCTTCCCCTTCTGAAAAGGAAGGGCTGGCAGCTACACCCTGAAGTTTGAGCATGAATTGTTTATATAACCTTCAATCACAATTTCATAATAGTCTGAAGACTTTCTTGCTAAAGCAGACATTTTACTGAGTTTTTAGCAAAAACCTGGCTGCCATCGAACACAAGTCTGAGTTGTTGCAGTGGAAATAGAATTGAACCTTCACCTTCCTGATGGTAGAAATTGCATTTCTGTCTGAAAATATGAACATAATTTTCTGATATTTCAGAATAGCTGTAGTTAAGTCATTCTGGGCAAAAGCTTTTGAGTTGTGTTGAGCTAATTTTATTTCCCAGAAAATATTATTAAAACTGAATGAACCTCCTTTTGCAGACTCTGGCTTTTTATAACTTCTGGGTATTTGTAAAGTTCCTTCACCTTCCCCAGCAGTAAAAGCTCTGCCATGAGTGTTGTAAGAACTGCTTATTGAAAGATACTCTCTATCATAGTCAGTAATATTTAAACAACTGCAGCTCGCCTTCCAAATGGATGACATTTGTCAGGAACTTGTCTGTTTGAGTTTACTTGGCCTTTTGAGTAGACAAAGTCTGAATATTTAGAGCTTAAAATTCAGGTCAGCTTGGAAAACTATATTTTTCTTACAAGAAATTTGCAGAGAGAACTAGATTTTTTTAGTAACCATAGCACTGCAGGAGAGCTGGTTTACGAAAACTCCTTTTTCCACCCTCAAGCATGTGTGTTTGAAACTATTTAAATAGAAACTTCCATTGTAATTCTTCAGTAAATTGAATTAAGCAGTTTTCCTAATTAATAATGTTAAAAATATTTTATTTCTTCAGTTTATATTATTAATTTGCATGGATGTTTAACAGTTTTGTGTTTAAGCAGCACAGCAAACAGCGTTTGAGAGCAGTTGGCTTTATGTAATAGTTCTAGTAAAAGCTTGTTTCATTTGAGGACATACCCAGAAAAGTAAGGAAGGAACAAGTTCTGTGGGTAGGTTGTACACAGGGTAATGCCAGAAAACACGTTGAACTTCTTTGCTTCAGAGGGGGAAGGAGTTTCCACAGGATGTCTGCATTTTATGGCAGAAATGACTGGTAGATGTGCTCTGAAAGGTTGCTTTGATGTAGAAGATTAACCTGTGGACCTCATTGTCAGGATATTACTGAGGCAAATCGCTTAGTGAGATTATTTGTGACTTGGGAATTAAGTTTTTATGTGTGCCTGCTTAAGCTGTTTTATAAGAAATTGCTGGTTTGTCAGATGGTGTCATGAATATTTGTGTACACCAAACTAGAAGAGGGAAAGCAAACCCCTGAAACCACAAACAACGCCAAGAAGGAAAGGAAAAAGCAGAATGCAGCTTTGTCATAGCAACTTCTCCTTTGTTTTTGGTCTCTCATGGGCAATTAAAATAATTGCAACTAAAGCAAGTAATACATGGAAACTTGCACATTCCACCCCTAAAAATCCAGCCTGGAGAATTTGCAGAAAAATTGATGATAGAACAGCTGGGAAGGCATGAGAATATTTTCTCACATTGTGTCTGCCTGATTTTTATTCCATTTCTCTTTGGGTGTTTATTTTTTAAAGGGTCAATTCATGCATATTGTACCTGGGATTGGCTGCTGGTGCAGGCCTTAAGGAAATATCAGTACCAGTGAGAAATCACTGGAGTGTTGACCCCTTAAAACCTGCTGTGATAACCTCAGTGTTTGGGTTTTGATTCTTTTTAAACACAAAATAGTGGCCTCATTGAACCTGTGTTTTTGACAGAAGTGGATGACTGTAATAACATACCTACATCTTTATTTTAAAAATGGTTGTAGTTTTTGAATCACTAAAACCATTGCAAATACCTCTTTAAAAAAGGTAAATGCTGCTGTGCTTTCCTGGCTCTGAACTGACAGAGTCTTTACTGCAGTTACAGAATATAATTTTCTGTTGTGTTACAGAAAGGAAAAGTATATTTTTCCTTTTTTTCAGGTCATATTTTAGAAGTGAATCTGTGAGAGAATCCAAGAGAATTGTGTTTAATTTTGGTTTTGCTGGGTAAAGTTTTCATTTGTATGCATTGCTGAAATAGTTTGGGTTTCTAGAAGGGTTCAGTAGTGCCAGAGTCGAATTGCCTCTGAAGGGAAGATTTTTATCATCTGCACTAAAAGCCAGTATTCTGTGGTTTTACAGGAGCCTCAGAAAATGCTGAGGTACTTAATTGCAGTGAGTTCCACAGGTCATACTGCCTGTTTAGGTGGTCCCTGATATGCTGGCAGGTGTTTCTGTGCGTCATTGGGCACCTAAATACTCGTAAAATTACCTCACCAGGCCATTGCAGGCTGTAGTGCTGTGTAATGTTGGTCTTGTTCTCTGCCTGCCCTGTGCACGTCCCTCAGCACAGTTCACTGAGGAAGTCTCCTGCAGTTGTACTGATGCAGCTGTTTGTGGGCTGTGCTTCCTCGAACAAAACTTACTCCTCCTCAGGTAGAGGGGGTGACTTCATTTTGTTTCCACTTGTGGAGAACATCATGTTACTTGATAAAAATAATAAAGCAAATTTAGCTAAGTGACTTTCCCAGGATTCCCAGGTAGAGTGTTCAATCTGTTAAGGGGATTATCTGGTGTAGTGGTTACAGACACGAGAGACTGAACTCCTTGAATCAGGGAGCCCTTTCCTGTTGTGTGCTCCAGTGAATGAAGTCGTGGTACGGAGGACATAGAGATAATTGAATTTTAGCTCCGTGCATCACCTCTGCACAAGATGCTTCCTTGTACGTGTTTTTCAAGCTAACACTGTTGAGAAATGTTGTAATTAAAGCTCTCCTTGACTTTTCTTTGTTGCAGGTTTCTGGCGAGATGACGGCAGTGGAGAAGGTGGAGGAGCAGCTGGCGGGGCTGCGCATAGCCAGGCGCTGCGTGCCCAGCGAGGAGCCCGCCTACCTGCTGGACATCCACGGCTCCAGGGCTGCCCAGCCCGGGAGCAGCCGCCTCGTGGCCGTTTCCTGCTCCGACCAGTCCCTGCGGGTGTACGACGGGGAGACGCTGCGCTCCCTGCGCCGGTACCGCGGCCCCGCCGGCGGCCTCGGCGGCGTCAGGTTTGCCCACACGCGTGACAGCCTGGTGTTCTCAGCCTGCAGCCAGGGCAAGGTCAAGTGCTGGGATGTTCGCTCAGACACGCAGAAGCCCGTGCAGGTGTTCAGTGGCTACCCTTCCAACGTCTTCATCAGCTTCGACGTCAGCTGCGGCGACCTCATTGTTTGTGCCGGAACGGAAAAAGGTGAAAAGGACGCGTTTCTGGTGTTTTGGGATGCGAGAGGCATTACAGACTGTGCCAGTGCTGCTAAAGAGCCCTTGGGAGTCTATTCTGAAAGTCACAATGATGACATCACCAAAATCTGTTTTCATCCTGTTGAACCCAATTTGCTGGTGTCTGGGTCGACCGACGGCTTGGTGAATGTGTTTGACATCAACAAGGATAATGAAGATGATGCTTTGATATCGACTTGCAATTCAGATTCATCAGTGAGTTCTCTTGGCTGGTCTGGGGAAGATTACAAACAGGTCTATTGCATGACACACGATGAGGGGTTCTGCTGGTGGGACATGGCTCAGCTGGACACCGAGGAGCCAATAACCCTGCTGCACGTTCTGGATGTCAGAGAGTCAGTCTGCGCCGAAAACCACGACCTGCATTACCTGGTGGGTGGCTTGTACCACGAAAAGGCAAAGAAACTCTTCCTGATTGGGGGAACCTTCACAGGAGACATCCACCTGGTCAGCTGCAGCACTGATGGCCTGAGCCTGGTGGGGACCCTGTGTGGGGGACACTCGGCCACCGTCCGCTCCTTCTGCTGGAGCCCCACGGATGAGTCTCTGCTGACGGGTGGAGAGGATGCTCAGCTGTTGCTATGGAAACCTGGGGCTGTGGAAAGGTCCCTCACAAAGAAAGCATCTCTGAAGATCTCTTCTTCCGTGCAGAAGAGAGTGAGAGTTCACAGCACCTCCCTCAAAAGCAGGAAAAAGTGAATTGCCTGAAGTGAGAATCTCTGCTGTGTAGAGCTTTCCTGGTGTTCAATCTCTCCAGGCAATACTTGGCCATGTTTTATTTGGAGGTTTTCTGTGGAAAGAACCATGGTGCTTGAATTCCCTCTGGGAATGTATTTCAGTCATCAGAAGAATGCCTTTTTTTTTTTTTTTTTTTTTTAGAGAATATATTTTAGATTACAGAATTTATTTAAAATGGAAACAATTTTGCCTGAAAGATGGAATGCCTTTTTTTTTTTTTTTTTATGTTGCTAATATTAATCAGACGAGAGTAAACGTTTGCTCCTGAGTTCTTGAACAACAGATGCTAAATCATATTATATAAAACTGTTTCTGTGGTTATTTAATGTCTCAGACAATGTTTTAAATATGTAAATACAGGCCTATGGCTTGCATAGTTTGTTACCTTCCCAGTGATAGTCCCCTGGCACATTTTAACAGCTTCTGTATTCCATGCTGTATTCTTCTTTCTTCACAGAAAACTTAATGAAATTGCTCAATTTAATAAAAGATTTTATGTCACATCTTAATGCCTGAAGGAATTACTTCTTGATGAAACAGAAAATAAGTAGTTTTGCACTGTCACATCACTGGTTTAGAACAAGCTCATAAAGAAGCAGCTGATGGAGCCATCTTTTTCATAGCAGATATGAATGTATTCAACCAAACAGCAGCTAATTTGTATGAGAACTGTTCAACTGGCATTATTTCCTGCATGAAAATACCCAAGAATTTTGCAAGCAGCTTCATTCTCTCCTACTAAGTGCACCTGGAAGACTGGGGAGATCTTTGGTGGGTTGGAAAAACTGATGGGTGTAATTACACCAGTAGTGCTTAAAATCCCAAATCCTGACTTGAAAGAAACTGGTATCACATGCTCAGTGGGGATGCTGAAACCCAAAAATGAACACTGCCTTCAGAGACTGTAGTTATGGAAGAACAGACTGATATGAGGAGACTTTAACAAAACCTTTTAGAGGTTGGCTGGGTCCTTTAAGAAATGTGCCTCTCTGCAGAGGTTTATGCTTGGACATCTCCCCAGGAGAGATTTGTTTTATTATTCCTCCACTGAATGGTGCAAAACCAGCCCTGTACTTGTAAAATAGGTGAGATTTCATGCTTATTCTGCTTTGCTGGCAGACTCCAACCTGTGCTCCTGGCTCTGCACACACTCTCACCTCCAGCCTCCCCACAACCACTGCAGGCAAATGGTGTTGGTATTTAGGCTGTAGTTACACGTGTACAACTGAAACCACCACCAGAGTATTTAAGAATTGCGCTGTTAAAGATTAGCTGGCAAAGGATTGAAGAGGGGTTGGGCTATTTATTTTTTTCTCTTGAAGGTGTATAAGCAATTCTTTCAGAACAACTCCTGAACATCAGGTTTAGAGGATTATCCTGGAGTTTAGAAACAGTTTCTGAGGTACAGGACATACTCTAGTGTGTGGTTACAGCTGTGCTGAAGATGCTTGAATCATCTCTGGAATTGAATCCTTTTCAACCACAAGTATCGAGTTTCCACAGGATGTTTCACAAACTGTTAATACCCTTTAGCCACAACTGTGAATCCATTGTTGGTTTGGGTTTGCCTGTTGGTGATAAGTAAGATGATTCACTTGGTTTTGTTACTGCTGCTTATTTAAAAGTAGCTTCAATTTGAAAATCACAGCTCTGTACACCCTTTTTTTGTCACTTTGTTAAATCCATGTTGTCCCCAACATCCTTATCTATTGCTTTTCAGATTACATTGTGCTATTTTGAGATAAGGTGGGCAGTGAGTGTCATGGCTATGATGCACCTGGATCATGTGCCCTTGAAGATTTATTATCCCAGGTCGCAGTTTTTTGTCTGTTGTGTAACTGAGTGGACCTAGAGCTTCAGACTCCGAATTCCCTGTAAAGCCCTCCAGGGCCTGACTTGGTTCAGTGCCAAATTGGGGCTGGGGGACTGAAGGATGGTTCTGAGACTTACTTCATTGCAGGTACCCAGTGTATAACTTCTTTTTAGATGTTATCCACTCTCTTCCTGGTTGGGTCTGTCTCATGCTTGATATCTTGAAGACAGGTTTGTGTGCACGCAGAGAAATGCACAGAGAGGGAGCTTGTGGTTGCCTCCACTTGTTTTCAAGTGTCTGCTGAGTGAAATTCCAGTGTGCTGTGCCAGCTGCCTCTGAATTAAAGCAGCAGAGGTGGGAGTTCTGGGACTGAAGAGTTTGCAGTCTGCAACCTGTGCCTATTGTCTTGTTTCTGGATAAGGTGGATATTGATTTGTTCTGTATCAGTCACAGCTGAAGCCATTATTATTTTCTCTGGGAAGCTGATTTCTCCCTTTTACGAGCATAACAGAAATAGAAGCAGAAGGGAAAAAATGTGTGTCTGTATCTTAAAATTCTGCAAAGGCACAGCAGCTGCCATGAGACTGAGGCTTGTGTTGCCTCTGAAAATACTCAATTTTGTTGTTTGTCTCTCTTTTGTGTTGACTTAATTTCAGGTTAATACCCACAAAATAAACAGAAGCCACACGTGAACAAGTAATTAGCACTGCTTGCTTCTGTAGGCTGCAGACACTATTTCATAGACCACAGCACAGGCAGAATGCATGTGTAATCACATAAATAATAATAGACTCAAAATCAAGTTAATGTGTCCGACAGTATTTAATCTTTTAGGGTAATTTTGACATTTGCAAGTTGGCTTCAGCCAACTTGGAAAGAAACTCTGAATCATGGAATCACTGAATGGTTTGGGTTGGAAGGGACCTTTTAAAGGCCATTTAATCCAACCCCCCACTGCAAGGAGAAGGGACATCCAGCAGCAGCACTGAGTCCTTGGCAGGGCTGCTCTAGATACCTTCATCCCCAGCCTGGATTGATCCTGAGGGCTGCCCTGGCCCAGGCGCATCCCCAGCACTTGGTCTTGTTCAGCCTCATGAGATTCCTGTGGTCCTGCTCCTTGAGCTTGTGCAGGTCCCTCTGGATGGCATCTCATCCTTCAGGAGTGTCAGCAGCACCTCTGGGCTTGGTGTCATCTGCTGATATGCTGAGGCTGCACTGCATCCCACTGTCTGTGCCATTAATTAAACAGTGCAGTCCCAGTACAGACCCCTGACCTCTGTCTGGACACTGAGCTGTTGACCATTATCCTCTGGATGTGACCATCCAGCCAATTCCTCATCCACCTAACAGCCCATCATCAAATCCATCTCTCCAGTTCAGAAGGATGCAGTAGGGGACTGTGTCAAAGGCCCTGCAGGAGTCCAGCTCTGACATTTAGAAAACTTACGTAATTAAAGCTGTGTGCAAGTAGCTTTTGGAAATCATCACTGTGTGAATTGTTGAACCCCAGGGGAAACTTTCATTCCGGAAGCAGTGTCAGGTTTGTTCCAGTAAATGAAAAGCAGAAATCCAGATAGACCTTAAATGCAAAAAACAGTGTCCATTTTTATTCAGAGTTTATAGTAAACCTGCTGTATGATATATCTGAGCAGCAGATTATCCTGCTGTAAACACATGAAAATTAACTCACTTGCATTTGGCATGTCCTGAAATGTACTCTTTATTTCTTTCTCTTGTTTCTGCAATTTAAGTGCAGTACTTCCATGCTCACCACTGTTTTTATGTTCAGGATGACATCCCACAGTCTGTGGATAGCTTCATCATTTACTTGAGTGTAGGATTTTACCCACACTTTGGAGTTGAGCTGGAGATTATTTGACAAATCTAAAGTTGTGAATTCATTTCTGGGTGGAATATATTTAGACAGTTGCCAGCCATAAGCTATTCTGTGGTCAGATTGTATATGGCACATGTTCTGCATGTTCAACCTGCACATCTACATTGAAATATCCCTTAGTAGAGAAGCTGATACAGTAAAACATTTTAAAGACACAAAATTCAAGCTTTACACTGTTCCAAGTGATGGCTTTCTCTTGGCTCCTGCCGTGCTGTGGCTCTGTAGGTCAGAATGTTGGGTGAAGCAGTGCATTTTGTCATGGGAAGTGCTGACTCAGCCTCTGCACACTCCTGGAGCTGCATCTTGTGTTTTACAGGATCCTGGACTGCTTGGGGTTGGAAGGGACCTCTGGAGATCATCTGGTCTAACCCCCTGCTCCTGCAGGTTCACCTAGAGCAGGTTGCACAGGATTGTGTTCAGGCAAGGTTTGAATATCTCCAAGAATCCACAGCCTCTCTGGGCAGCTGTTCAGTGCTCTGCCACCCTCACAACAAACAAGTTTTTCCTCATATTCAGATGGAACTTCCTGTGCATCAGTTTCTGCCCATTGCCCCTTGTCCTGTGACTGAAAAGAGCCTGGTCCCATCCTCTTGGCACTCATCCTTAAATATTTATGTTTTGGGGAGAGGCTCCCTTCTGTCAGGAGGGGTTGGGTATGGATGCACTTAATTGCACTGTCAGTCCATCAGCAAAGCTTTTGTACTCCTGAAAGAACTGACACACTTGCCCATCTCCTAAAGGTCATCTGCCGTGGTTAATTTGGAATTTTTTCTCTTTACCCTTTCAAAATCCTCTTCTGTTGCTTGGCTTCTTGGTTTCTTTTTGGACAGGGTAGTGGCAAGTTCTGTTGGCACCTGCTTTTCTGAAGAGATTATGAGTCCTGTTCCTTTCCTCTGGGAGCTCTCCTGCCCTGTGCAGGATCTCCTGGACTCTGCACTTCCACACCACACCAAATGGAGAGGGGGAAACAGAGAGAGGGAAGAAAAAGGGGAGATTGCCTGATCCTCTGACAGGGCATCTCTCCAGGGAAGCTCCTTGATAAGGAGCTGGACCCTCTACCTTCTGAAACACATGTAAGAGCTTATTCTTGAGCAGGATAGGACCTCAAATAAATTATGCAAGACATAAACACCCTTTAAACATAAAAACCAGTTCCTGTTTGTCTGTGAGATGGGGTTTGTCTGTGAGATGGTCTGTGTGATTTGGCAGTGAAGCGCGTGAGAGGCAGAAGGTGTTCACTTGCCAGGGCTGAGTGTTCTTTACTTCCAGAAGCAGTGAGCAGAGCCACTGGTTGAGCCACTCTTGCTCTCCCTGCTCTGCAGGAACCAATGGATTTGGGGATTCCAAGTACCATGAAAAAACTGGAGGGCAGGAGTTGATGTGGAGATGACAGCTAAAGGCAGCAGTTCAGTCTGTGAACT